AAAAAAAAAAAAAAAAAAAAAGCCACTGCAATGAGACACCCATGCACCGCAAGGAAGAGACACCCATGCACCGCAAGGAAGAGTAACCCCTGCTCGACGCAACTAGAGAAAGCCCGCGCACAGCAACGAACACCCGTTGCAGCCAATAAATAAATAAATAAATAGATAAAATTACATCACTCAAGTCAGAACAACAAATGGTGGCCATTTATAATAATTTTTGAGAAGTCAGAGTTGTAACACAATATATGTTTTATATAAATGATACAATATCAGGGGCATAATTTTAGAATAGGTACACTGACATCTCACCATTAATTAATGAGTATCAACTACTTGGTATCAATGGCATTGAAATAAGCAACACCTGGTTTTTAACCCACAGTGCCAACCAATTACTGGCTATGAGACCATGTTTGAGTCTCATTCCTTCACTTGAAAAATGGGTCTAAAACAGCCTATTTTAAGTGAGATCATACTATAAGAACGTCTGGCAAATTTTTTCCTTTTTCCTTTGTTTATTCAATATAAATTTTTTTTTTTTGGTGCGCGGGCCTCTCAATGCTGTGTCCTCTCCCGTTGCGGAGCACAGGCTCCGGACGCACAGGCTCAGCGGCCATGGCTCACAGGCCTAGCCGCTCCATGGCATGTGGGATCCTCCCAGACCGGGGCACGAACCCATGTCCCCTGCATCGGCAGGAGGACTCTCAACCACTGCGCCACCAGGGAAGCCCCAATTAAATTTTAACTGAAAAAATCTATATGCTAAAACAGGTTAGAACTAGACTTTATTTCCATTATGTCCATTTTTATCTAATGCTCTTTCCACTGTGTTCCGATGCAACCTTTACTATGTGTAGGTTCTATCTGTGCCCACTTAAGGGGTCTGAAACATAACGGAAAAATTCCCAACTAGTTCCTCTAGTGGTAATGCCCCATTAAGTAAGCAAAAGCAAATGATTACCTCTATCATCTCGCCTATAATCATCTCGAGAGTAATCATCTCTGGAGCTCCATGACCGGTCATCTCGTCTGTCATATCTGTCTTCATAGCGGTCCCCGCCTCCTCTGTAGTCGTCATCCCTACGGTACCCACTACCAAATGCTCTTCTGCCACTGCCTATCCTGGAATCGTAGCCTGTAAACATATCCGAAATTGTGATCATCACACTGGAAGGGAGAAGGCAAGAAAGGAGTTCTTAAAAGAAAGCAATTTAATTGTGTTTTACAACGACCTCTATCATAGTCTCTGCTGCCTCGGTCATCATAGCGATCTCGGCCCCCGTACCGATCCATGTCCCGGCGTGGGCCATCACGGTAACTGTCCCGATACCCATCACGATATCGGTCTGAATCGTAACGATCTCGATACTCTAGAGAGGAAAGAGACAGGTAATGTCATTCCTTTTTCTTTGACACATACTGATAAAAACAAACATAGCCCATTAGGTCAGTTTGCTTTCATGACTTCATATTCACTGCTGTGTCTGTTTTTACTTAAAAAAAAAAAAAAATCGCATTATATCCAAGGTAGAAGAATTTGTATTGAATTAAAGTTTCCTTGGTATTTATTTTAAAAAGTTCTCCACTAATTCAATAAATGTTGCTGGGCTAACAATTTAGGAGGGAGTTAGGGGACAGAAAAATCTCTATACAATAGTACTGCCTTATGTGTGGTTTCACTTTTTGAAGTTTCAGTTACCTGTGGTCAACCAGTCCAAAAATTTTAAATGAAAAATTCCAGAAATACACAATTCATAAGTTTTAAATTGCGTGCTGTTCTGAGTAGCATGATGAAATCTTGTGCTGTCTCTCTCCAACCTGCCCGGGATGTGAATCATCCCTTTGTCCAGCATATCCACGCTGTATAGTACAGGACAGTAAGATATTTTGAGAGAGAGAGATCACATTCATGTAACTTTTATTACAGTATACTGTTATGTATAGGAAAAAACATAGCATAAAACATAGCGTTCAGTAATATCTGAGGTTTCAGGCATCCAGGAGAGTTCTTGGAATGTATCCCCACAGATGAGGGGGGCGGGGACTACTTTATATCCCATAATGAACTTCCAGGATTAAAGATGTGAATACTAAAAATGTAAGCACAAAGCACCAGAAGAAAATATAGTTGGAATCTTTCATGCCTGATACCAAAGAACCAAAGACTACTTAAATTTGTTTAGCACGGAGGGAATTTCCTGGCGGTCCAGTGGTTAGGACTTCGTGCTTCCACTGCAGGGGGCCTGGGTTCCACCCTGATAGGGGAAGTAAGATGCCGCAAGCCACGTGGCCCGGCAAACAAACAAAAAGTTTGGCACAGAAAAACAATACACATACCACAAATCTGAGAGGCAAACAAAATAAGAAAAATATATGTAACATATGACAACGGGTTAATTACCTGTTACTGCTTAAGTAACAGAAACTAAAACGGGACATTGTTTTCTACTGCCCAAATGGAAAGGTTAAAATAAATGATACATCTTGTAGTGGCAAAGTTTAGCACAATAAGTCAATTCCTACTCTGCTGAGTTAGAAATAGTTCAAAGGCCTTGAAAGTTGTTTCGGAACTATGCACTAAAAGATTTAAAAAACATGTATACCCTCTGGGCCAGCAATTTAATTTCTAGGAATTTAACCTGAGCAAGTAACTGGACACATTATACAGATATACATATAAGAAGGTTCTTTGGATTGTTGTTTATAATATTAAAATCGTTGCATGCTATTTAGCTTCAGGTGACATGTCACAAACCCAGATTTTTATATGGAAAAAAAAAACCCCTCAATGTCTAAACATGAACCAATTAAAAAACAAAACAAAAAAACTTAAAAGACATTTTGACTTTGTGAGTAGGCTTAAGAAATATCTTAGTTTTATGACAGCTTCCTTTTAAAACAACGGTTTCATCTTGCAAAGGACATCATTTTGTCTACGTGAACATTCATCTGCAGGTAGTTTAAATTTTAAAAATTAAGGGACTTCCCTGGTGGTCCAAAGGTTAAGACTCCACGCTTCCAGTGCAGGGGCACGGGTTTGATCCCTGGACCGGGGCAGGGGAGATGCAGACGGACAGGGCGACGACACTAAGATCCCACAAGAAGCTTGGCGTGGCCAAACAAAACAGGTCTTGAATTTTATCCTTGTCATCACATGTATGTTATGCTATCAAATATTCCATTATATAGACCAACCACTACTTAGTCATTTCTTTACTCAATAGAAGGTCCTTTCCATTAAAAAAAAAAAGACAGTGTCGAGTCTTTCTTCACGTATTTCAATAAAGTTGTAGCATTTTCTCCACGAATGTTTTACAAAAGCTTTTATTGGATTTAGGTGGTGTGTGTAAAAGTTTATCCCAGCTCCTACCCCATGACATTCTCTACTCCCCTTCTCTAAATTACATTTTATTTGCATATTGTTTCTCTCCCCTGGTATAAATAATGACCAACAAAGACAGTATTTTTGTCTGTTTTGTTCACTGCTCTACCCTGAGCTTACAAAAGTATCTGGCACGTGGTAGACATTTAGTATTTTTGAAGGTAATGAATTTTCTGTTATTTAAAAAGGCATCTTAAATTTTTTTTCTGCATCTACTGCTACCCTCCTCTTTATCTGCTATGGTGGTCATCTACATTAACACATTTGTCCTATTACAAAACAACCCCCCAGAATATACAAGAAACTAACTAGATAAAAATGAACTTACTGTCTCCAAAGCTATCATCACCTCTTCTAGGTGGGTAGTCATCAAAGCTGTCTGTAGCAGGACGGGCCCTCCAGTCTGTATCTGTTTTGTCAGAATCCCGATTTCTATCTCGGCCAAAAGAACGATCATCCCTGTCTACAGATATATAAAATGAAAAAACACAGGTTAGCTCACAAAAACTTTTGCCAGATATTTCTCATATGCACAGAGGTCCCCTCCTGCCCCCACATACTGCACTTCTTGCTTACACCACAGCGTCACCACGAAGTCGCCCCAGGCCCCATAAGTATACTCTCCAACTCGACCAAGTGACTCCCTTCCTCACATTTATTCCTACTGGTTTAATGCTTACCTGTCTCATCTTCTGTATAGGCATCTTAAAAATTTTTAAAGATAGGCCAGGAACCCCCTGAAATATACATGAATCAGGCTCCTCTTGTGCCCAGTGTGCTGCTAGGTACGTAATCTATTTAGTATATATTTAACGTTCATCTAGGTCAATCAGGGTTTCTCAGTCTCAACACTACCAACATTTTGGGCTGCACAATTCTTTGTTGGGGCGGCTGTCATACGCATTATAGGACAGTCCTGGATGCTATTAGACGTTAGGAGCCCTCCCCACAGTTGTGACAACCCAAATGTCTCCCAACATTGACAAATATCCCCTGTGAATCAAAAGCATCCTCAGTCAAGAACTACTGCTCAAAGTTAAGGTGGCCCCCACTATCTGCCTCTACTACAAGTTTCTGGGGAAGGGCACCTCTACTTTGTCTTCCCAGGACCATGACAAAACAAAACATTCAATCATCTTTCCTACCTTTATCCTGTGCTTGATCAGCAACGTCCACTCGAATTCTCCTGTTACCTAGAGACTGAGAGCATAGGACCATATTAACCAACCTTTTGCCCCATTATGCACAAATCCCATGAGTGACCTTGAACGTCTGGGCATAGCAGAAGCACTGGGGGAAGGAAGATAAAGGAAAAACACTGTAATCTAGCCAACACTACAATGTGTTGGCTAAAGAATCCTTTATAAAGACTTGAATATAAAATAACCCCTTAGAATTAACATTTAAGTTGGGCTTAAATGAATGTCAGATCAATTGTCTTACTATTTTTATAAAGTCAAACTTCACAGAATAGATTTAACTTTTTAACTATCACAGGCAATTTGTCACATGTAATAAATTAAAAACATTTCTAGACAACTAGCTAAATAAAAGGTACTATTTGGGTCCAGGGCAATTATGCATTCAAACATTTATAGAGTCCCTACTATGCACCAGCAAAGTTGCATAAAGCATGGTCTCTGTTTATAATCTCAAGTTCTTTCACTCAGTATTACCTTACGATAAATCAGTTCCTCCAGGATACCCTCTGATTTCCCTTTCCCACATCACTATTTATATACTTTGAACCCAATTATTTCTACTGATGATATTTTTCTCATTTCACAGTAGAATCTACAGTTGAAGAAGGATAACAATGAAATTTAGTTAAGAACACCTGGAATAATATTAAATACCACTACGATGATATCTCTAAATACAAACTAACTCCTAAGTCTGGACCACGACAACACTTTATTTAACAGTCAATTCAGCAAACTTCAGATAATAACAATTGTATGGTATTCTTTTTCTTATTCAGACTGAGAGGTAAAAATTAGTAATGTTACTAAAACCTAAAATGACCTGAGAAGAAAAACTTTCAAACAACTTTTGCTTTTCATATATTTAACTAAATACATGAATTTTATTCCTATTTGACATCTGCTTCAGATTATCATGGTGGTACTCAAGTTATGAGATAGGAAAAATATTTTAAGAGGAGTTGCTTTCAATCACGTCCAATGGCAGACATGGACCATAGAATTATGGCACAAAATGGCACTGGAAATTGCCTTCTCAACGAACAATGAGAGGTGTCTGGAATTAAAACAGAAAAAAAAACAGCCTTTTTTTCTTTTGATATATAATCAGTTTGATTTCTAAAGTCACTCACTAGAGATAAAAAAGCAGTTCTTGGATTAGAAACTTCCATCACTAACAAGTAACTAAATGTTTCAATATCCTGCTCTGGCTAGCCTAGGAATCCCTACATGGCACCAATCACTTAAATAACTGTATTTCAATTAGATTTAATCTCCATCCCCCCTCATGTATTAACAGCTAAATCTCCTCTCCCCACTGAACCTCTAGTGTCTGGATTAAAAAACATCTATGGGCAATGTTACAAAGCAGGACTGAATGTTTACTGTCATTCTCCTGTAACAGATTCCCAGGAGAGCCCTCTTAAAAATAAAAAATTACTTCCCTGAAAATGAGGTAACGTCTTTAAATACTAAAATAACATGATTTTTCTATTTGCCTTGATGTGGTCATATTATTTTGAAAAAGCAAAGCCACGGAGCTGAGGCAAAGCTGTGAGTGAACTAACGTGAGATTTTATTAAGGACTTCGTGGTGGATTTCTTCACAATTTCCCACCTAAACACGTTCCTGAATTACTAGGCCCTGCTGA